TTTAAACAACTATTCTGGTCTCTAATACCAGTCCTGGATTTGAGAGAGGCCAACCCACTCATTCATGTATTGAACTACTGACCCTTCCATTCAAAAGGAAAATGAAACTTTTAATCCATATCCTACCCACAGTAACTAGATGAACCACAATTAAAGTCTTTCTAAACAGGGTTCTAGAAAGAGAAAATAGTCATTAAGATGGCAAATTTTCAGTGTCCTATCCCGCCTCCATCCCCCACCACATCCACAGGGTAGGAGCACGTTCACTTAACCCAATGAGCATGGTCCTGTCTGCAAACAAGTCCCTGGAGCTTCCTCCGGGTAAGGAAGCTCTCTATCAGCGTCTGGACTAGCAGAACTATAAATCAGCTACAAACACACCCTTCCTGCTGCTGCTAGTCCAGTTTCGCCTCACAAGTCATCCTGCCTCCTAGGAACAAGGTGCTCTCTGAGCATGAGAAAACAAAAATCCATCTTACAGTCTAGGCAGGGGCAAAGCAGAGAATACAAACTTGTCCCCCACTTCAAAGCACAAGCCATATCTTTCACTAACTAAATAGCAATCCCAGCAGGGGTGACAATGAAAGCTTTCTTCCCTATTATTGTTTGAAACAACCACAGGCTATTTGTTCATATTAATTAGTTTATATCTAGTATTAGGCAGCCTTGATTAGAAAAATGCTCTTTGTTACCAAATGAATGGAGTAACAAACAAAACCAAAAGCTTTTTTTTTTTTAATTGTTGTTTTGCCTTAGCAAAGAATTTTTTGCCTTAGAAAAGAAATGTCAGGCCTTTCACACTTCAGCGTGAGCTTATCTTTACACAGGTCCCTGAATTCACCCTAAAAGAATGCAAGTTGATGTGCCAGACAATACCAGGCTAAGCTGATTGAGGAACTGCTTGTTATTCCTTGACTAAGAAGCTGTATTTAAATTACCTTTACCTTCTCCGAACTTGGGGGAAACTTGATAATAAGAGAGATGACATCAATACAAGCTTGGGGGCAAGGACAAGTCAGCCTTGGACTAAAAGTGGACTGCACAAATTACACGTGAAGAGCTGACATATAATCAGGAGGCCCACCATCGACCAGAGGATCCTGGGAAACAAGTGACCCAGTGGTCTGCATCTCTCCAGAAGAGTAAGTTGCCTTTGCCTGGGACCTAATACCCCAGTTTATGGCTGACACCTTCCAAGTGCACTTGGGTTCCCCCAACCATCAGAGGCTACTACTCCTCCCCACATATGGTAAGACTAATGGGGCTCACTGCCCTGGTTGACATTAATTAATGAACTTGTTCAACAACATTGTCAAAAGTCAGGGTTTGAACCCAGGTCTAAGGCTTAAAAGCTACACAGGCTTCTTCAAGATTAATGTTAAATTCCTTAATGTTAAATTCCTTTGCTTGCAAGGCCCTGCAAAATCGTCTCCAACCCTGTAACCTAACCCATCTGCCGCCTCTACAGCCAGAAGTATGCTGATAAATATATAACAATGGGCTCTTAGGACTGAGGGATTGTGTTTGCCAATTTCCATGATGTAAATACTCCACCCCGGCTGATTTCAAGCTACAAGCACGAAGTCAATGGGCTCACTAAATTCCTGAAAACTTAAGAGCCGGGTCTTGTGAGCTAGCAGCGCTGGCTCTAGCATGTCACTTACAACCTCGCACCCCTATACCCTGCAGTTATCCTGAACTAGCACGCAAATGCTGTGCTCTCTCTCATCTTGGGACACTTGACATTTACACATGCTATTTCCTCTACCTTACCTCATTCATAAGCTCCCAGCCTCCTGGTCTTCCTTCAAGAAGCCTTCCCTGATCTTCCAAGTCCTTCCTGGGTGCTCTGCTTTACTCCTGGAGCACCCAGACTTCCTGTGGCATAGCATCTGTGACCCATCATTGCAACTTTTTGATTCCTTATCTATTTCCCACTACATTTCTAAACTCTGGCGGGGCAAAAACACTGTTTATCTTACTTATTCTTGCACCCCCAGGCCTGCCACAGTGCTGGCTAAATGGTAATACTTAGATGCATTGAGCAATATGTAGCAGATACTGTTCTAAGTTTTACACATGTCTAACTTCATCTCTTAAACAGCCCTATGAAGTTGGCTTTATTATTATCATGCTCATTTTTCTGATGAGGAAATGCAGGCACGGAGAGGAAAGAACCCTTTCTCCCCCAACCCCCACTCCTTTGTGCTGTTAGTAAATGCTGGAGCTGGGATTCGAGCCCAGGCAGTATGATTGGAGAGCCTAGTGCCTCCTTCCAAACCAGTATTTCTTGACTCCTCCCACCCCCATTGGTGACTCTCAAAGAGAATGTTTTCATTAAATTTAAATTCTCCCTAATGAGAGAAATGAAACACAAAAGAGTAAGATTTCTTCAGGTAGGATTAACCTCTGGAGGGATTTTCCATCAGCCAAGATCCAATTTTTGCCCTCGTGGGGGCAATATCATTCCCTTTGATAAAGTATGCTCTAGAGCTTTTGCTGTGCATTTACATAAATGTACCATATGTTTATCCCCAAAAACATATGGTCTTAGTTTACAGTTTTAATGATATCTTCCTGTAAGCATTATTCTACATCTTGCTTTCCTTTCCCTCCATTAGATATCTTGGAGAGATGTAGCTGTGCTGAGATATACAGGGGTGGAGCAAAAGTAGGTTTACAGTTGTTCGTATGGAAAATAATACAATAATTAACAAATAATAATATAAGAATAAATTCCGTGTTTCGTGTACTCACAACTGTCAACCTACTTTTCCCACCCTGTAGACTTGTCATTTTTTAACTGCTGCATGGTACTTAAATCATATCAAATGCCTAAATTTATTAAGTCCTTCCACGATCATATATTCAGAAAGTTTTTCATTTCTTGGCCTTCAACTAAGGCTTCAGTGAATCTCTTCATGCACATCTCCTTGGGCTCATGCATGAGTCTTTTTCTAATGTAGATACCAAGATGGGAATAGGGGATGTGCAAAGGTATATAATTTTAATAAGTACTGTCAAATTACCCCCAGAGTGACTTCACCAATTCATTTTCCCACAAAGAATTCACAAGAGTATGTTTCCCCAAGTGTTTACATCAAATATGACCTCTTTCTACCTTGGGTGGTGTTAAACATTTTAATTAAATGAGTCATTTAAAAGTATTTATATTACTCACCAGCTGATAGCAGCTTGTGCAAGAGGGAAGGTGTGTAGATAATATGATGTTGTTGGAAATGTTAACAAATGACAGAGCAAGGCTGGGACACTGAAACGCCTTGTCGGGAAAGCCTGTACTATAGCCGAACTTCACAAAAGGCAGAGCATATCATCACTGCAGGGGAGCAGCTGCAGTGGCTTTGAAAAGGTGACCTCAGGCAACAGGCGCTGAATCTTTTTACCCATTGACCAAGTCTCTCAGGCACCACAAACACTATCGAGGGGAATGGAAACCAAACACCCTAAGTAAATGAAGTGTTTCAAAGACAATGATCCATTTACCAGAAAGAGAAATACACATAATGGAGATAACACTATACATCCTGGGAAATAATAACGAAAGCTTTAAAATGGTAAAGAAAGGCAAGGACTTTATCCAAAAGACAAAATTCCAAGGTGTCTCAGAGGTTTAAAAAAAAGCAAAATAAATAAAAATGCCCCTTTCTCCCGCTCCCTCTCCCTTCCCTCCCTTACACATACAAACGCCCCTCCTTGAAATACGTACAAAATGTAGCAGCTTGTAAAATAACACAGAGAAAAGAGTGTGGAATAACTTTCTATATCATCAAGAGTAAAATTTCAACCAATATGCTTCTTTCTCAAAGGTATGTTTTTTCCTTTAAACTGGGCCTAAAAATGACTGTCATGAATGCGATGGGAGGTCAGTTTAGAAGGAGGTGAAGGAAGAGCAAGTAGAAAACTACACTTGCTGAGCACCTACTCGTGCTTTTCACATATTCTGTCATTTAATCCCTATAACCATCCTGTGAAGTGTGATTACAGAAAAAGAAACTGAAGCTGAGCGAGGTTAGCAAGACTCCGGCGCCTTATCCAGCAATCGGTATGTGAACTCAGGTCTAATGACTCCAAAGTCCCTTCGCGAACGAGCCACTCGCCTGCTGAAACTGAAAGAGTCCAGTAAATACCCGAACAGATCAGATTGTAAAATACTCCAAACAAAGACAGTGTTCCTGCCGTATGACTGGACAGTTCCTCACTGGACAGAAAAAGTAACTCGTGTTGCCGTTGTTCAGAAGTTTCTAGAATTGCATTTTCTTTTCAAAGGTACTAAAACAGGTCAAGGCAAAATAGTTGTAAAAATTATAGGAGGACAACAAGACAGCATTCAGAGAACTGGCTGTAAGATTGTGTCTGTTCTGAGCTATTTCATTAAACCTTAAACAAGTCCAGAGAGGCAAAGAAGCAGGGTTCACTTCCGACTGTCCTGATGTGGAATTTGGCGCCTAGAGGAACAGCCCAACAGCCGAGGCACTGAAAACCCAGGCCCTGCAAACAGAGGCCATCCTGCTCAAAACACTCCCTCATTGTTCCAGCTGCTTCTTTTTTTAATCCTCAACTGAGGATAGTTTTTCCATTGCTTTTCAGAGTGTGGAAGGGGGAGAGAGAAAGAGAGAGAGGGAGAGAGAGAAACATCGATGTGAGAGAGACACATTGACTGGTTGCTTCCCACACACGCCCCGACCGAGGCTGGGAATGGAGCCCGAAACAGAGGTGCCTGCCCTGGGCCGGAATCGAACCCAGGACCCTTTAGCCCGTGGCTGACACTCTAACCACTGGGCCAAAACGGCCAGGGTTCCAGGGGCTTCTTGAACTAAACAGCACCCGGCTCACAGAAGTACTATTATCTGAACAGCCGCCATATGATTTTCAGAAGGATACACACGATCCCCAGAGTCAAGCAGGCTTTCTGAAACTCGATTTAAATATTTGACAAAAACGATGATTAGCTCAAACCTGGGCTGGTTTGAATCGCTTACCTGGGGCTGTGAAATGACAGGGGTGGCAGTAGAGGCAGCGGCCATGGCGGTTCTGTAGTGGGCAGTGACCAGGCCCCAGCCCTGCGGCGCCAGACGCAGGAGTCAGATTCTCGTGCTGATTAGATCGCAGTCATGCTAGGAGAGGCTGTGCACCTGGAAAAGAACAGGAAAGCCCACAGCTAGCCTGAGAGCATGGCCGCATGGGAGTGAAGTGCCATCTGCCAGAGGAAGCAAAAAGCCATCAAAATTTGGCACTTGATACCAAATGCCACCTACTAGCCTAGCGGAAAGGGGAACCCAGGAGAGAGCACCTAGCATCTCAGTGCCGAGACTTCTGTACCATGTGTCCAAGTCCGATTAAGTTGATGGGTTTTCATAGGTTTGAATTCAATTCTGCGGGCTAGCTAGATGTTTTGGGAGAAAGGTCACGTGTCTGTTGGAGTGTCTACCTCTTTCATGGTGCTTCTCTCAGAAAATTATAGGACCCCACAGTGCGCTGTTTTGTACTGAACTTATTCCTGGCATCATTTTGTGCCCCTCCTACTTCTTTAATTTTTCCTTCTCATGTATTTATAATTCACGTTACCTTGCTCTATCGTAGGTAGGGCAAACAGAGGCATATATAAATAGCATGACAACCAAAAACCAAGACAAGCAGGCAAGTGAGACTCAACTCTTCAAGACACACTGCGCGCTCAGATCCGATATCATTCTGCCAAGCTAAGTCCTTAAGCAATATAACCTTAATGTATTTTCAATGCAGTGTGGGGCAAAAGTAGGTTTACAGTTGTTCGTAGGGAAAATAATACAATAATTAATAAATGATAATACAAGAATAAACTCTGTGTTTTGCATACTCACAACTGTAAGCCTATTTATGTTCCACCCTATATTCCGAGTACATAGAGTTGCCCAAAAGGTGAATCCTGGGCACCTATCCTACAGAAAGGATATAAAAATTGATGTGAGAGATATATTACATGGCATCACCGCTGATAACAAAAGGGGAGAGGTGGAGACTGGGGCTTAATGAAACCCTACTAGAGTCTGAGCACTGGAGCAGTCATTTCATAGACAGTGTGAGTCAGACAGCGCTAACTCACTTCATAAATGGGGAACCTGAGGCTTTGAAAGGTTGTGCAACATACCCAAAGTCACAATAGCCAGGAAATGAGGGCACTGAGACCTGAACCAGGACCCACTCCAGGGCCCATGTGTTTTTTATAGACTAACCCTTCACGGGAACAAAAATGAAGAGAAAGTGCTTGGAGTCTTTTAAGCACAAATTTCAGGTAGTCGTGACGGAAGCAGGATGTAAATCAGATGTCCTGCAGACAAAGTGTTTTCCCCAAACCCTGACACAGAGACAGTCGAACTGCTCTCATCTAGACAGACCTTCCATGACGTGTCCCTGGTTCTGACTTACATTACATGTCCTTGAGATACACCGTAGATAACAGATTATTAGTTTCATATCTTCAAAAAGAAAATAAGGAAGATTAACTGCCTCCCCCTAAAGCACTTAAGATATATCTAATTTTGAGCCCCTTTTAAAATGATGTATTGTTTTCAACTCTGAAAATACAAGGGCTAACCAATTCTACCTCAAAGGGTATAAATCAGCTCTCTCCTGGAATTAGTCTTAAAATTATGTTTATGAAACCTATTTACTTCCCAACGTATTTACGAAACGGAACAAATCATGGGGGAGCTAGACCCAACGACAAAAAAGTCAATATCTTAAGTAATACTGCGCTTTGGTCTCTAGTTAAGTAAACTGGTTTGTTCTGACATACTAGTCCCCTGCTTTCCCAGGCCCCAGACTGTCAGCTACAGAGCTGCACAGAAGTTCTAACGAAATACACCCCTCTCGAACTCTTCCAAGTACCTGGGCACTTGTCCTGCAGTTCTTTCATCTGCCATCATCCTAACTCCTCATTTCCTCTGCTTGAGCTCCAAGGCTGTGCTCCAGCTACAGGAAACCACAAAGCAGTGGGGGCTGGCCCCGCTCACCCCAGCTCCCCTTGGCTCATTCTGTTGCCTCCAGTTGCCTTCTTGTCTTCTTCTCCAGTTGCCTCCGTTTTCCATTCTAGGCATCCCTAATCTCTTCTAATCTACACCATTCTTTGCAAAACTATCCCTAATGCCCCACACTTGCAAAAGATGAGCTTTGCCACTTATGTATTTACTTGTCCATTCATTCATTCATTCCCCTATTGTCACTGGATATGAATTATCTCAATATCGCTCCCTACAATTCAAAAATGGATATATAAAACACAACTGACAAATGAGAAAGCTACATAGGCTCATTCCGCTGTGCCAGATTACTAGAGAAATAAGAGTAGGAAATATCCTGAGTCAGCCCTAGAAGCCAAAGATGAATCCCAACTATTGCTGAAGCTTCCAGAAATACAGGGGTGGGCAAAAGTAGGTTTATAGTTGTTCATATGGAAAAATTAAATACTACAACAACTAATAAATAATAACAGAAGAATAAACTCTATTTCATGTACTCACAACTGTAAACCTACTTTTGCCAATCCCCCGTATATGAAAAAATCAACATGGGAGGTTGATAGAAGAACGAAGGCACATCATTGCCTTCATGCGAAGCTGCAAGTGCATGGACAGATAATCAGTAAATGAGACCCCAGCAGATTCATACTGATATTCCTAGTACAGCGGGAGGAGGGCTGCAGGGAACAAAGCCAGGGAGAGGTGGCATGCATTTAAAACACACTCACTCCTCAAAAGGGGTTCTTGGCTCCAACTGAGCAAGTCATCTCTGGTTGTATTTACTTCTAACTTACATGTGGCCATGATGATTGCACAAGAAAACACGTGGGGTTGGGGGGAACACTACCAACTGGTTTCTGACATGGGCAGCCATGCCAAGTGACAATAACCTGGCTAATTACTGAGTGCCACCCCAAATACCCAAAAGAAAATCCCTGGTTCTGAGGCAAATTTCATTTTGATCACTCCTGCAGCTGATGCTGGCTCCTTCCCTCCATCTCACAGGAAGATGAATTTCTAACTTGCAGATTAATCTCCTATAAATCTAACCTTTTCTCTTCATCTGGACTTGAGTCAAACAGTGACTCACTTCAGTCTCTTGAAAGAACACAGGGCAATACCCGACGCTGAATATGCATAGACTTTTCTCTCTAAGGATAAGCAACAGAGAAAAAATCCAAATCCACCAAAGGCCAATGAAAATTCCTACCGTTCAAGAGAAGGGAAGACTCTAGGATCAGAGCAAATATTTACTTAAGAAATAGGTGTACTACATGAAAGGAAAATTTAAAAACATATGAGATCAGAAATGAGTCTGCATTAACCAAAAGGGAAAAAAATCTGAATCATGAACTTAAATGAAGGCAGTTGATAAAGCAGAAAACAGAATAAAAAAATAAAGCAGAAAATGGTATTAGTGAAACAGAAGATAAACCAGAGCTTAGAGGAATAGGGGAGAGAGCCACGTGGATGAAGATTTTAAAGTTTCCATCCCAAAAACAGAACAGATGAACAAAAACCACTAAAGGAGAAAAAAAGAAACCATCAATGCTGAAACCTGAAAAGGAAAAATTTATCCTCAAAATTTTAGAAAAGTGTTGCACATATATAGAAACATTTATATCAAATAGGAAAAAAAAAAAATCAGACTTGAAATTTGCCACAGAGAGCCCTACAGTCTGGCAGAAATGAAGAAACTCTGAACCCCAAACCTGGAAAAATAAAACAATGAGATGCAGGCGGGCCAATGCCATAGCTTAGCTTTCCCAGTATCCCTTCTCCCTGCCGGAGCCAAATAACGTCTGAAGCCAGCCCGCTATCATCTGAGGCCTGAGAATGGAAGATTCTTCTCTCCCAGGATCCAAACAGACGAAAAGACTTAAAAATAGTAACATCAGGAAGAAGACATGGACGCACTGAAACAAAAACAAAATGCTTGAAAACCGATCATTTGAAATTCAGGAGGATCAGCATGTGAGGTTCCAAACGTAAAAATCCAAAATGTAGAGCGAAAAGCAGTGAGAAAGCTAGAGGACTAGTCCAGGAGATCTAAGAGCCAAATAAAAGCGATTCTAGAATAAAAAAATAAAAAGGAAAAACAAAAAAAAACCCACGAGGGCAAATCAAATAACTACCTCAAAGCCTTTTCTGAAGAGGGAAAGCCCCGTTTGTGGAAATACAGAGGCCCAGCAGGTGCCTACCTGCCCGCCTCAGTGATTTTAATACAGCCACGTGAAGCACACGGCGTGAGGTTTAGTTTTCTTTTGCGTTTTGTTTCTTCTCACCCTAAATTTTTTTTAATCAGCTAAACTATCAGAAAGTGAGAGTGAGGGGGAGCTCATAAACAAAGGATTAGGATGCGGTCTTGGGACTTCTCCCCTGCAGCCTGGAAGCTGGAAGAGATGGGGCAATGGGGAAGGTGACTTACTGCCTGGAACTCCATTGGAGGGTGGGTCTCAGCAAAACAGAGATAAACTAAGGAAAAGGCAGGCATGTGATGCAGGAACAGGGGGAAGTCAACGCAGAGGAACACAAAGGGAATTCCTGGCCCAGCTGTGAAAGGAGACCCGCCGAGGACAGGTGGGAAGACACAAGGCAGCCTTGACAGCATAACTGTGCCTCTGGATGCACAGGGTGGGTAAAAGGACGTTTACAGTTGGGAGTACATCAAACAGAGTTTATTCTTGTATTATTATTGATCGAGCATTGTATTGTTTTCCATAGGAACAACTGTAAACCTACTTTTGCCCACCTGTGTGTGTGTGTGCTCGCATGCATGTGCGTGTGTGTAATAAACTGCAGGAAATGGTAAGAGAAAGGGAAAAATTCTTCACCGTTTGAAAAAGGAGCCAATCAATACTGTTTTATTTCTAAAGCCGATAAAAAGAGAATTTCAGGCTTTAAAGATCTAGACAGGAAGGGAAAGGGGGGAAAGGGTGACAAAGGAACGGCCAGGCTACCTCTTTTATCTGAGCTTCCTGTCCACACCACTGCGGCCTGTGACCAGCGAGGCAAAGGGTCGGGCTGGGCTGCAGCAAGCTGTGCTCACTTTCCGAGGCCATCTGCTTCCCATGCAGTCAGAACAAAGAAATTAGAGAAGCCCTTGGGAAACCAAATAATTTCCTCATGTTTTG